AAGTCCAATGGAATGGTATGAGAGGTAATGATAGCAGTAACATGGTAATGTGTGAGGAACTTTACTGATTTATGCCAGTACGCAACTACCCAGAATACCCTAACAATATCAGTAGTGGATGCTGAAGCTCTTAAATATATTTAGATAAGTAGTAGAAAAGCCTTCGTAAAGAAGGCTGAGAGATATCTTTAACTGTTCTCTACTGGTTAGGGCTTCCAGATATTTGTCTCTTATGCTTGCCAAGGCTGCATTTATTTGATTGAAAATACAGTAAAAACGTGTAATATTATTGCAATTTAAAATAACTGTTTTCTATTGTAATACATTTTAAAATGTAATTTATTCCTGTGATCAAAGCTGAATTTTCAGCATCATTACTCCAGTCTTCAGTGTCACATGATCCTTCAGAAATCATTCTAATATGCTGAAAACAGTTGTGCTGCTTAATATTTTTGTGGAAACTGTGATAATTTTTTCCCCCAGGAGTGTTTGATGAGTAGAAGGAGATTAAAGAACAGCGTTTATTTGAAATATAAATTTCTGTAGCATTATAAACATCTTTCACTGTCACCTGATCAATTTAATGCATACTTGATTATTTTGTGAGGAAAAAAATCAGTCACCCCAAACTTAGGAATGGTAGTATATAAATTTTATATAACATAAAATAATCTATGTCTATACATTACATATAAATATGTGTGTGTGTGCATGTGTAATATATATATATATATATATATATATATATATATGGTTGCTTCCATATTTATAATCTTGACATTTGTATGTACTTTATTAATTTGTTAAAAGTATTCTTCAGCTGTAATATAGACAAAAAGTGGCAACAGAGTAGAAACTATAAATCATTTCATTTATTTAACATGTTTCTTGGTCACTACAAAATTCCTGTACTTTTATTCGTGTTATTTCATAGTTTTGATGACTTCACTATGATTCGAAAATGTGGGAAACAGTCATAATAAAGAATAAGTAGGTGTGTTCAAACTTTTGACTGGAACTCTATGTCTGTATTAAAAGTGTTAACAGTCATTCTAATGAACATGTTACTGAATAGAAAAATTCTACTAGATCGAGTCGGATCTCTAATCCATTTAGCGCTCTAGATACTGTGGTGACACACATTTGAACTCAGCTTAACCCTGATCCTGACTTAAACCTGTTGTGGACCGAGATGAATTCACAGGAAGAGGCATTGATAAAGCAGTGAGAGAGAAAGAAAGAGAGAGATAGACTGAGAGACAGAGAAAGAGAGGGGATTATGGCAGGATGGGCAGGGGAGAGGTTAATGATTGGCAATGAGTTTCAATGGGCCACACAGGGGGCTCCAGGAATGTCTCTCACAGAGCCGAGGGGGCAAGTCACTGTTAATCAAAGGACTTTACAATCTGATAACAAAAGGGTTAACTTAGCATGGGTGGGCTTCCACATACCAGCCCCGAGGTGCACCTCCAAAACCCCCCTTCCACTTTTCCTGCCATCATACCGTCTTTATTTCAACCTCGCCATCACATTCCAATGTGTGCATCTCATTCAGTCCTTAAAAATGCCATCATTCTGTTTTCTAGCACATTTTGTTGGTACATTTTGTTCGGCAAACACGTGAAGGTGGATGAAACCTCAGGCAACAAATGGTGGAATGCGACAGATCAGGATGGGAGCCGACGGCCACCCGCTCAGGAAAGGTAGGTGGCCATAAAATTGACACATTTGGGGAAACCACCACCCATGTGGAGCTCAGCTGACCCACGTCTGGACTAGATCTCTGTGCTCTCCTGTCCTCGCTGGCTATAGGTGTGAACTTGGTGTGGTAGAACTGTTTTGACTGTTATGAGGTGTGTGGCATATGATAATGCAGAATTGCGCAGTCACTGAGTTTTTAGGATGTCGCATCAACAGCTTAATCGTTATGACATAAACAATAATAGGCCGTGCCAAGTATTAAGCATTAGTAAAAGTATAGTTCATAGAGAATTAAAATTTTGTCATCATTTACTCACCCTCACGTTGTTCCAAACCCATATGACTACTTCCCCATGCTGATCTTTTCTTTACAATGAAAGTGCATGGGGATAAACAATGTTGAGCTCCAAAAATTAACAAATGGCACCATAAAAGTACCATAAAATTAGTCCATTTGACTTGTGCGCTGTTCAGTCTTTCAAAACCATGTAAGTCTACGTGAGGATCAGACTGAAATCTAGGTCATCATTCATTGAAAACAGCTCTCAATTCCCATTCAGTTCCCATTTGCATATTCAAACTCGCTGCATCACTTTTTTTGCCTCTGATAAATGAAATGAGTTCTGATTTTCCAAGTCTGAATATGCAAATGCAAATAAAATGTAAGAGCTTTGGCAAAAAGGCAATATTCTTTGTGAATTACTAAAACTTCGGTGTGTTCCTCACACAGAGCAACTGTATGGCTTCAGAAGAATACACAAGTCATATGACCTACTTTTATTTATTTATTTATGGAACTGTAACTGTAATCCATATGGAAAAAAGCAGCGTGAACATAATGCTAAACATCTCCTTTTGTTTTTCATGTTTTTCATGTTCAAGTCACATGTTTGTAATGACATTAGAACAACTTTTGACATTAGTAAATTACAAAATTTCTATTTGTGTGTTAATTAACCCTTTAATAACCCTGAGTAGATTGCATAGTCTATCCGGTAACTGGTTTACAAAAACATAAAATACTTATAAACTTATGCTTATAGTGTAATGTCTTAAATATGTGTGACACTGAAGACTGGCTGAAAATTCAGTTTTACCATCACAGGAATAAATCACATTTTTTAAATATATTCAAATACAAAACAGTTATTTTAAACTGTATTTTTAAATTTCATATTTTGATCAAATTAATGCAACCTTGGCGAACATAAAATACTTTTTTCAAAGACATTAAAACAATCTTACTGGCAATGTTAACCCATTTTACTGTGCTCTTGAATCCTACAACCACAGGTAGTAAACAACTGTAGACCTAAAACGGAGCTGGAGATGCAGCTCTAATGGAAATCAGGTATTACAGCAGGAATGAGTCAAGCA